ATTAGCGCTACTGGATCTAAAAATATGTGATAACATCTGGTAATACTGAAATAAAGTATGACTATTAAATATTTAAAGCAGAAAGGAGACGACCACAGCACGAAAATAAATGAAAGAGAAAAGTTCTTTAGATATTTTTTTAAACAAGGTAGAGAAGTTAGAACAAGTTTTTAAAAGGACAACATGACCAAATCATGTTCTTCTTTTTTCAGAATTTTCCCTTCATTTGAATCCTTCACACAAAGAAAGGGATCTACTTACACATTAAGCACCGCAGACTGAATAAGGTGTTCTCCATCCTGATCTTAAGGCAAAATGATGGGTTGTTCTGCTTTGGTCAAATATTGTTCCTTTCACATCAAGCTGCAAATGCAGTCTGTAGGAAAATGCAGATGTCTGAAATAGGAGCAAAGTTTTTACCCCAGCTTGAGACCAAAATACATTTTTATAACACTGACATCACTGCACTGAGTTCCTGTTTTCATGTTTCTTGACAAAGGAAAAAAAAAAAATTTTGTGCCTCTGTCACTGAGAATATTTTGGTGACAGATTAAGAGCACACTTTGGTTCTATTTCAATATAGCAATATAGACTTAGATCAGAACATCTTTTTATAAAAACTGACATCACTGCATCAGGTTCCTGTTTTGATGTTTTTTATTAACTGGCAAAATGATCAGATAAGTAAAGTGACTTCTGTTTGCATTTCAATTTTCTAATAATTATACATCAACTAATAAATATATGCAGAGCAGTGCTGCAGGACCCAAACAAAGAAACTGATAGAAAATGACCACCTACCAGAGAAATGAAGAAAGAGCGATCTAACTGGGAAACAAAGGGTTAAACTTAACCAAAAGCTTCACAATAAGGTGAAAATACTGACAATCACACAGAACAGAACCTTGTATGGGACCCTGGTCAGAGACAGAGCTGTAAAAAAACAAAATTGAATTAGAAACAGAACCAAAGTGACCAACAGAAAAGTATTAAGCACATACCATAATAACCTAAAAGGTTGATGGGCAGCAATGATTGTTTGTCACTGAGGCAACTCACACTTTCAGCATCGGACCAGGAAACTTCAAAACCTCCTGCTTTCATAGCAAAGAGTCAATGTGCTGCTGGTAAGTTAATGAAGACATTTTTTTTTCCATTCCTTCATGCAAACAGTAGCTTAAAGCAAGTTTAGTATATTAATAGAAATATTTAAATTTTTTTTACTCTACCCAGCAACTTCATGCCTTCATATTTGACATATACTGTAGGACATTGTGTGAGAAGCTTCTGGCAAGCAGAGTTTAAAATTCCCCTTTTCATCTAAAAGAAACTAATGGGTGAGAATGATCTCATGTCTCAAATATAAATAAAGCCTTAGTGAGAAAAAGCAGGATATCATGTGTTAGTCGTTCAAGAGAACCGTAAAAAGGCTTAAATTGGAGACAACCAGACTTTCTCTCAGTTTTTTTTAAAGACGTTTCATTACCTATGAAGTGTTTAGTTTTCTTAAGAGAAGCATTAAAAATGCTCTTAAAAAGTGAAAGAAATGTGTCAGGCTGTGAGACACAAAGAAGGAGAGAGTTTTTTTCATTTCAATTTTCTTGTGAATATTATGTCTCATTTTTAATTTCTACTTTATTGTATGTTCCAATGCTGAATATTTGTCTTTTTCAGCATTGTTTCTGTTGATAAATGTGCTTGAGTGTGTGGTTTTCAACTTGGACCTCTCTGTGATACCAAAGAAAGAAATAATGAGGTAAATAAAATAAAATAATCTGTAAATGTTTGGTTAAATCAATTTACTTATAATGTCCCAAAATCTGCCCTGCTACCAGAAAACAAATAGTTTCTGTTTCTCTTTGTTCAGTTTTTAAAGGGCCATCAAAGGTACTTCAGACAATGGAGGGATCAGAAAGACCTCTCAGTATTCAGAAATGTTACAGCCACATCCTTTATCCATCTTTTTCTAACATATATCAATACAATTAATGCGATTAAAAAGGGGGACCGGAAGGTGTACTCCAATTACAGAGATATTACACTCCTCAGCCTCTCCGGTAAGGTCTACTCCAGGGTAGCCTGACGTAGTCCGACTCAATTCTAGTCAGAATATGAGTCTGATACTGCTCCATAGAGCTGTGATTATGGGGCGTGTTTCGAACGNATATTGGTTATTTATTCTCCAGTTTTATATTGTTAAAACACTTTACATAATTGTATTGAACATATTTTGACTTTTCCCTATGATGCTATTCTTATACATTTTTCTAAGGTCCACATTTGTGTAAATTTGCCCATTGTGGGACAATAAAGGGATTTTCTATTCTATGAAAAGGGGAGAAATATATAAGTAAATCTAAACAATGTATACAGCTGCAAAATCTCTAATATTCAACAACAAAAAATTATTAGTTAAGCATAATGTGCAAAACAGCAACAACAAAAAAATGTTTACTCCTATCCTATTATAGTCCCCGCACTGCAGATCTATTAGAATCTGTCCTTAAATTACAGCCAAACTCATTTACACAGTAAGAGATAAAAACCTTTAGATAAACCAAACATTACCGCAGCTTATCTGACTCAATAACCATTAAAACAACTATTTTCCTTCATTTCAGACGTAACAATTCACAGACTTGTATCATATTAAACTGAACTTCCAATTTTCACTACTGTTCGTGAGCAAATCACGGCTTGCTTGGTCTCGCAATGAATCCTGGGTAAACCAAGGATACCGAGGATACATCCGACCCGTCCTTCAAATCGGGCAAAAAGAAGGATGCATTTTAAGGTTGCATAACGAGGACTCTTGGAATCCGACCAGACCTCCGCGCCGCGCTATGACATAATCGTCCTTCGAATCTGGCCTTCTAAGGACGCAGCCCAGGATTTTAAACAGAGCAAGCATTGAGATCCAGCAACGACAAGGAACCAACAAAGAGTGACAGCAGAGGGAGAGAATATGTAGCTGACTGAGACAAAGGCAGGGCTAACGAGCTGACGAGGAGCAGGTGTGAGAGGAGACAACGAGTAAGCCAAGGGGAAAGGAACACACACAAGAGGGAAAAATAGGACAACGCAGAAAAACCTGAGAACTAACATAAATCTAGAAATTACAACAAAATAGGAATTACACCAATAAAACTAGAAAAGAAGGAGCAAAGTAAAGCACAACAGAATCAAGACCATGACATTAGTTCTTAATAATTCCTTTATTTCTCATGTTAAACTTGATTATATTCCTACAGACAACCAAGAGCCATTCCTTTTTTTTCTGTTATTTTTCTGAACTAATAATAATAATAATAATAATAATGATTATTATTATTATTATTATAAATTAAGTTGTGTTTTTAAATACTGTAGCTTACCTGAAACAATCATGTAGATAGTATTACTCCACTTAGGTAGATGTGAGTTCCTTCTGTAACCACAACACTTATATTCACCACTGTAATCTGTATAGTCAAGATTAAATGTGTAGCTTTTTGAACTGTTGATGTTATGTTCTCCACCATTCCATATTATTCTGTAATCCCAGTCAGTTTCTTTTCCTTCATTCATGTCACAGATGAAAGTAACAGACTCTCCTCTATAAAATGTCGACCAGTTGGGCTGAATTGTCAGCACAGCATCTACAGGAGAAGCAGCATTTAGTTCACATCTGTTCTGGTTTATAATAGATATTAACAACTAAAATTAAAATCATGAAAAAAGAAAAAATACAGAGTATAGTTATGATAAAGATTTAAAGCTGAAGTCACCTTGAGTTAGTCCGCAGCAGAGGAGAGTGTTCAACACTGGAAAAGAGTTGAAAGTTGATAATAGTTTAAAACTTAAAGAGATTCAGTTTAGTAAAATTATTTTCCCACCATGAAACCTATAAATTACTCTGTTGTAAGCTTGATAAATGCAAATATGCTAATAAAGTTAACACTGAAATATTTTTTTCTGATCAGAATAGGACAAGTTTTAATTTAGATGTTTTAATGTCTGATAAGTTCAAACTCCACTTTAGAAACTCCACTTCTGGACTCTGTGTCTGACTGTAGAAAATGTAGAGACGTCCTCCAC